TCTTTCCCTGATTTGGTTAGAATCCCTTTTGAGCTGTAGCTGGGTCACGGCAGGCTGAAGGGGCGCCCCAGACAGCTCTCTCTCCCTAGGATGACACAGTGGAGAGGACTTTGGAGCGTGTTTGCTGCATCTCAGGGTCTATCCCATCAAGGTTTTCTTCCACAGTATTAAAAGCACTATTCTCTTTTTAAGAACCGAATATCCTATTAAGCTGTAATTAGAATTAGCTAGAGTCTCTAGTTGGTGTGAGGAAGGTTTGGATAAGTGATCAAGGACGGAGGCTTGCTTAGGTCAGAAACATTGCTGGAGGTCGCCTTTGAGTTTTCCATGGTTTGTAGCCCAGCTGCTGGGGAAGGAGGATAACAGAGAATAATAACACATAGACCTTGCCTCCAAGAAACACACAATTTAGTGAGGGAGTTCAAACCCAGGGCCCAGACTCTGGATACAAGGTACAAAGTACTGGATGCCTGGGCAAGGGACAGAGTATAGAACAGAGATCACCTTTGGCTGCCTGAGAGGTGGCCTCCAGCTGTACCTGGAGCTGGGCCTTGAAGCATGCGGAGAATTTGGACATGGGCAAAGGTGGCCACATTCATGGGTGGGTAGGCTTTCTCTTGCAGAGTAAAGGCTTTAGGCTCCCAGGAAGCCAGACTTCCCTCTGGGGGGATACTGCTCCCCAGAGGGAACCACAAATCCCTGGCTTACTCAGAGTCACTCCTGGGCCTCACATGACCATCCATACCTGGGGAAGAGCCGTTCAGATTGCCTGGAGTGAGGGGTTTCAAAGGGAAAATGTGGGTGCTGAAGAGGAAGCCCTTAAATACCAGGCTAGGGAGTTTGGATGTTAACATGGGCAAGAGGGAGCCACAGAACAGTGAGGTGAGCTCGGCCAGGAGGGATTAACTGAGAGGTACAGGATGGATCAGCAGAGGTGAGTCAAAGGTGAGGCGAGGAAGACTGTGTGTCCTGGGCCTTGGGCCAGAGGGAGGAGAGGGTAAGGGCGAAGTCAAGTCAGGCTTCAGGCCGTTGTCCGCCCACTAACCCAAGTCTCCTGTTTCTTTCCAGTCTGGATAAGGAGGATATGGAGTTCCAGCCAGATCCAGAGGAGGAGGAAAGTGCTCACACTGGCATCGCTGGCCGCTTCCGAGGGCTGCAATCCCACGACCGCCAGCCCCCCAGGACAAACTCAAAGACCAAACTACTGTGGCCGAAGAAAGAAGTCCTCTCCCATGAGGGCCAGCCCAAGAACCTCGGGGGCGTCGGACAGGACACCAGTGATCAGGAAGACAGCGAGGCCTGGAAAGGGGAGGATGCCTTCAAGTCCACTGTGCTATATGGGAGGTCAGGCTACCACAGTGCCCCCCAGACACCCCTCAGCCACACCCCTATGGTCTTCCCACCTGGACAGTCAGCACCCTCAAGTTTTCACAAAGTCTTAGACATGGATGACACTGTCAAAGACCAAAGCCTTCAGCCTGCAACTCCCAGGTCCAAGAAGAGTTTTGAATTGCTCCCTGAGAGTGCTGGGGCCTCAACTGAGTACCCGGAAGTGAGTCATATGAGGAGGAAAACTGTTGAGTTTAACCTAACAGACATGTCAGAGGCCCCTGAACATCTCAGAGAACTGCATGTGGGACAGTCGACAAGCAACATACACACTATACTCAAAGATCGTGGCGATCCCTATTGGGCCTTGGAAAACAACAGGTCTGTCCTCTACCCAAACCAGGGTCACTGAATCCCCCAGCCCACCAGGGGTGGTCCCCACTAGCTTCCCTTGCTGAAGCCCACCCTACTTCCAGTTTTCCTATGGTTCTATGGCTGCCAGGGCATGCCCAGCACTGGCTTGGGACACGCACCTGGCCGCCACAGCAGGGGCTCTAGGGAAGTGTTGGCGACTTTTGCTTATTTCACCCAAGAGCCTGACTCACCAAGACTTCTCTGGGGCCCAGGTATAGGAAGACGAGGTTGCACCGACAAGAGTAACGCCGAAGGGCCACTAGGCCAGGCTTACACGGGCTGACGTTACCAGTGGACCCGGCTCAACTTAAGCAGGGGTGGCAGACACAGAAACACAGGCAGAACTCGGGGCTCTAGACTATAGCCCAAGAACTCAACTTACTGCCCAGGCTTAGCTGGGAGGTCGCATATGAGCCCTCCCCCATAACCAGTGGTGGTCCTAAAGCACTCCTGGAAAGGGTGCCACACTCCTGGGAACTGGCAGATAAGGTGGGGGCAATCCAGGTCCCTTGGGGTACCTTACTGCTTTGGGGACCTCACCAAGACTTCGGAACTTAAATGAGCTCTTCATGCATCTTTGAGGTCAACCTAAAGCTGTCACAGTACCACCAGATGTTTGCCTTTATTCCAGATTCCCCAGATGCTCACTCACCCAATTAGACCCAGCCCCCCACCATATGAAAGGGAAGTGTAACTTCTCATTTCTAATGATTCTCAAGCAGTTATCTGAGGTCAGAATACCTAGCTTGGTACTGAAAACTGCAAAGGCCTACCACCTGTCATACTTCTAAGGGGTAGAAGGAAACTTACAAATCACTGTGGCTGGTTTAGGAAACAATGTTAATGTAGTTGGTTAGCAAGGACCCAGAGGGCTCCCCAGTCTTCTAACACTACTCACTGGTTGATATTCAAGATGTCTCAACCTCTTCCCTCCTACTGCAGCTATTTTCCTATTGAAATGAAGGTATCCTTCCATACTCATGTAAACGTTCCTCAAATTCTCACTAGGGATGAAGCACATTCCTAGCCTGCTTCCCAAGGGGGATGCTTCGCCGGCCTGGTCCTACCTGCGTGTACACCAGCAGGACACTGATCCAGTCATAGCCATATAGCTGTCCACGCTGAAGAATATGTCCCTACGACAGCCTGAATTAAATGGTTACCTTAATGGAGAACAAGAATCAGTAGCTTCAAGTCTACTTTAAGCCTCAAAATGCTTTTTGTACATATAAACTGTGAAAGCCAGAACTGCTGGAAACATAAAACACCTAATTCAGAATCAGGAATCCTTAAGTCCTGTCTGAATTCAAAACACCCAAGCCTTGGTATCTTTCCCAAACTAAGGAATTTAATAATTAAATACAAATCCTCCTAAGCGTTTCACTTTGATTAGTGTGACTAAACCATGGTGGCACTTACAAATTTAATAAAGATGGCCTAGATACATTTCCAGCCCACCCCAAGAATTCAAAGACAACAGCTGGGTACCAAATTACTTTATTTGAAGGAATGGTACTAAGGAAAGGACGTAGATATTTTGGTACAACTTACAGAAAAGCTAAGGTAACGCAAACATGCATGCACTGCCTTGGTGACCAGGGAAGTCACCCCTGTGGCTACGGGAAGCCAGCCTAAGGCTTAGCTCTCATTATCACTATTTCCCAGGGTGTGCTTGTCAAAGAGATACTGTGCCATGCCAGATTCGGGGGCCCCCATCGTGCGCAAGTTGGTTACGTGGTCACCCAATTCTTTAATGGATTTCACCTGCTCATTCAGATAATGAGTCTCAATGAAGTCACACAACTAGAAAAGAGAACAAGGAAAAAAGTTATTGGGAAGCTTCCCAGCCCCTAAGACAAATAATTTCCTCCATTTACTCCCAGGTTGCCAATACTCACATGGGGGTCATTTTTCTCAGTGGCCAGTTTGTGCAGTTCCAGTAGTGACTGATTCACACTTTTTTCCAAGTGTAGCGCACATTCCATTGCATTCAGCCCATTCTCCCAGTCATCACGGTCTGGTTTCTGAATGAGAGGAAGTTAAGTCAGTGCATCTGCAACCTCTACCACTTAAACCACAAATCAGCAAGCATCTAATGTGTAACAACCACGCTTGGCAAAAGCAACAGCCAAGTTCCCCTGACAACCGCTTCCAATTTAATATCCTTGCCCATTACTGCCTGCCAACTTTAGCTTAGATGGTAGGCCCGAAAAAGCGCAAAAGACAAAAACCCAATGTATCCTCATCTGATAAGGGCAACTGCTGGACTCAGTGATTTCTGACGTCAGAGGACTGCTAGACAGATGAGGCATGACGACCCTAGGATCTTCAGTTCACCTTGATATCCTGAAGGAAGATTCGGCCACCCCGTTGGTTCTGCAGCTTCATCAGTTTCTCAGCATGTTCCCTCTCCTCACAAGATTGGTGAAGAAAGTATTTGGCAAAGTTCTTCAAAGCCACATCATCGCGGTCAAAATAGTACGACTGAAAGCAGTACATGAACATGTTAGGGATTCCCAAAGGAAGGCAGTCTGCTAGCCTAGGCTTCCTTCTCAAAGCCCAGCAAGAAAGGGTCTGAGCATAGGAAGACTGGAGCAGGATGTGTTCCTGGATTGAACACGACGGTGATTAGTTTTTACTCTGAAACACAAAAATGAAACTTGGTCCTTGAAACTGAAAGTTTGCTACAAGGAACCGTTAGAATATAATGGAAATTGCCTCCACCATGGAACATCTTAAGCATCTGTGTTAAGTGCAGAGTAAAGTTCTTACAGCCCCTGTCAAACCTGGTTGAAGAGATGTTGGAGTATTTACCCTGCACTTAGTAGTGCCTTCTCCCCCTCCTCCCTGGGTAATCCATGTTAAAACATGAGCTGCGGGCTTCCCTGGTGGCGCAGTGGTTGAGAGTCCGCCTGCCGATGCAGGGGACACGGGTTCGTGCCCCGGTCCGGGAAGATCCCACGTGCCGCGGAGCGGCTGGGCCCGTGAGCCATGGCGGCTGAGCCTGCACGTCCGGAGCCTGTGCTCCGCAACGGGAGAGGCCACAACAGTGAGAGGCCCGCGTACCGCAAAGAAACAAAACACAAACAAAAAACATGAGCTGCCAACATACAGCAGGCTGATGGATATGTAAAATTAACCCACTAGGCAAGGTAACAGCTGTGGGCGATGCCAACGTATGTAAATATGTTATCAGTAGAAAGCAAAAATTTTAGTCCCTTTTACACCCTTTTTCAGTTGTTCCTGAAATGGAATGACAATCATAGAAATCCAGGCGTATTCCAAACCCATCCGGAACACGTCTATTCTTGGATGATTTGCAAAACGTAATAAGACTAAAACTCCTGCCACACCGATTAAAACCAGGATTTGGGGAAACTGATTCCAACGATTACTGCACGGAAAATTTTCAGGCCCCGTAACTGTTGGTGGACTGTATCCAAGAACTAAAGGTTCAATTACGCCACAACCCTTATACAAAAAAAAAGATAAAGAATACTGGTGGCAGTCAATTCGGTGTCGGCTGAAAGGGCTTCAATTCAAGCGGGACTCAGAGATAAGCAGAGCGGCGAGGTGAAGGCGGCTGTTCGGCCCACGAGAGATAAACCACTTCGCACCAGCACCCATAGCTGGACACCATTACCCAGCAGGCTCCGCCGGGCTCAGGGGGCTGGGAGCCGGACCTCCTCAGCACCGCCCCCCACCACGTGATCGAAAGCAAAAGGGATGGAAATGCGAAAATCCACCTTCCTAACTGCAGGGTCGTACTGGTGGCAAGTGTGGCAACCCCGAGAGGAAACTCAGCTCTCTTTAAATAAACTGGGGTGCGCAGAGGCGGCCTTGGCCCACGAGGAAGCACTCCCAGGAGACAACTGCTCAGAATTTCTGCGCAGGAGTCCTAGAGGACCCCCGGCCACCCCGTTGGTTCTGCAGCTTCATCAGTTTCTCAGCATGTTCCCTCTCCTCACAAGATTGGTGAAGAAAGTATTTGGCAAAGTTCTTCAAAGCCACATCATCGCGGTCAAAATAGTACGACATGGACAGGTAGACGTAGGAGGCGTAGAGCTCCAGGTTGATCTGGCGGTTGATAGCGGCCTCCGAGTCCTGGTGGTAGTTCTGGCGCACCTGCGAGGGAGCCCGCCGAACTGAGCCCCGCCCCTTCCTGTAGACGTGCGGCTCCGCCCCGCTGAGGGGGGTGTGGAGGGGGGGGTGGCGGTGAGGGGGTCCGGGGGGGTCTGGGTGGCCTGGAGGCTGCAGCTTGTTCCGTGGAACGTGGGGCTTGTTTCGTGGGGTTGGAGAGAAAACCTGAGCGGGGGCAGGAAGCCCAGCTCGGAGCCCTGACCCCGGTGGCGTCCTGGGTCTTGAAACCGACAGGAAACTGCCCCTGGCGCCGGGGGCGTCAGGGCGATTCCGAGGTCCCAGAAGGCACCCTGAGACTCTTGGCCAAGGGCACGTTAAAAATCCGAGCGGTAGAGCCGCAGTTGCCACACCCCGAGGTGATTACTTCGTGATGCAAATAGGGAACCTGGAGGGTGAACGTGGGCCCGAGGAGGCCGAGTGAGTCAGAGGTCGGGCTGGGAAAGGGCTCAGTTTCTCTTCCTCAAAGCTTAGAAAGAGACCTAATGCAGGCCGGGTGGGGCCCACGGCCCGTCGCGGGTCGGCCCCTCTTTCCGGCTCCGGCGACCTGGTCAACCGTTTGCTGAAAGCAAATATGGCTCCTTGTGCATTTGATACAACAAAGGCTGGGCGGGCCGTGTTTCCCGAGAGACTGCGGAGACCGCCTTCCCGAGGGAAACGTGGGGATGAGCCGTTGAATTCTGAGGAAATCGCCTGTAGCTTAAAGCTCAGAGACCAGGGGTTAGAAAATAGAGAAGAACCTTGGGTCTGGAAAGGATGCCGCGAGGCCATTTTGAAAAGGCCTCTTTTATTGGCCCCAGTCCCAGGAGCCTCGGGCTGAGCAGGCCCTACAGGGAGCCACCCCCAGGTTGTCCTTGGAGA